TTGAAAGATACCCCTCCAGGAGATCTGACTATGCCTTCTGCTCACTTGCTTCCTGGAGGACCCTTTCCTAGACTGTTGGTCTGGGACGGGTATATGACTTCATCTCATGATTTGGTATGCACATATAGCGTTCTTCTGGAAATTCTGCAGAAGGTTCTAAGGCTTGATTAATTTAAGAAGCACTTTTAAGAACCATGCCTAATCCTAGAGAAAACTAAATTAACTCTCACCACAAAGTCGTATAGAATCACACTGCTGGAAGACATGAATGCCTGTTGAAGCTAGGGAAGATTGCCTGTGTTTGATGCCAGGATTAGCCGTGGCCATGAAATTCCTTGGAACGATCTCGCTGGTACTGATAACTGAAAGCCCTAGAGTGGTGGGTAATCGAAAGCAGAGAAGCATTCGTTTCTGCCCTTAGTAGAACATGTGCACCCCAGATCACATTTTAATGATGAAAGATAAATTAAAAGTGATCACCAGAACTTATTCTAAGCCTTGGATTCTCCCCCCCCCCCCCAGTTTTCCTTAAGCAGCATGTGTTAGGTTCATAAGAAAATAGCAAACGTATCTTTCAAAGGTCCAGAGGGGACTAAGCATAAACGTAGATAGTCCTGGTCAGAAAGTTCAGTATGCCAAAGCCGAGGGAGGTGTGACGGTCTCCCTGCTGTGTGAGCCAAATGGTCCTTCTGTTGCCTGCTTCTCTCTGCTGTTTTCATACTCTGTCCAAGGTCTAGGTAGAGGTTTAATCTCATTTGAGATCCAAGAAGTGCCATTTTCTTTTGCTGGTGTTGTTTGTATGTATATGTGTGAGTCCCTTCATTTTTCAGTGTTACAAAAATTAACCTGAGGAAGGGAACCTTAGAAGAGGTTCAGTTAGCTCACTGCTTTTCAGGCCTTAAAGTTCAAACAGTGCGGTGACCAAGTAAGCGCCCCTATGGTTGTCACATAGATAGTGTCACGGTGGGACCACATGTTAAAAGGGTAGACAAAATTTAGTGTGACTCTGGGTTAGGCTTCTCTTCATTGTCTTGAAGATTAACTTCGGGCCGGTTGTGGTGGCACACGCTGGTAGGATTTGCTGAAGGAGGCAGAGGCAGGAGGATCACGAGTTCGAGGCCAACCTGGGCTACACATTTTCCTCGAAAAATCAAAGACAAAACAAAACAAAATAGCTGGGTGGGGGAAGATTAACTTTGGGTCCCACAGGATCTACCTTGATCCGTTTTGAGGGCAACACCATTTATGGCCTAACCAGCTCCCAGTAGGTTCCACCTTTGAGTTGTCCCTCCAGCTCTCCTCTGCTTCTTACCAGGAACCTAGCTCTGAGCTGTGGACTCGTGGGGAATAAACCATAGTCCATCCGAGGCAGTCTGTCCTCGGCTTTGATCAGAGTGTAGTTCATATCATAACAGTACTGGTCTCGTTCGTGAGACTTAGCAGCCTACAGGGAAGAAACGTTAGTGAAGAGCAGTTTCCAGTTCCCATAGTGCAAATTTTTTCACCAGGACCAGTTTCAAGCGATCTGTATAAGGACTGTGGTAGAGAGGTGCACACAGCACTCTTAGATTGGCACGTGGCATTTCTAGTTCACCACTGGAATGTAGAGTATTTGGAAAATGAGAAGAAATTTCATTTTATCTGAGCTGGATGTTATTTTTAACATTTTGTATATAAAACTGTGTTTTGCCGTCATTATGAACATAGTATTCCAGTTACTTAACGTATGGACATCTAAGAGCGTTTTCTAATTTTGGGTATTGCTATAATTCATGCTATATATCACTAGAAGAATGCATCCATAGGTCTTTGGGTTTTCGTTGTTTTTTCATATTTCTGGGAATTTCCTTAGGACAGATTCAAGAAGCAAATTATTTTGATTATGGGTCTAAAAAGATGTTCCCTGATGCCCTCTAGAAATTTCGTACAAACATACTCACCTACTAAAAGGTACATGAATTTCTACCTGTGACATCACTACCACAGATACTTTTGTGAAGGTTTTAGATGATTTGATAAATTTAATATTTTATTTATTTATCTTGCATGTCTGAATGTTTTGTCTGTACCACATGTGACCTTGGTACTCACAGAGGTCAGAAGAAGGCATCAGAACCCATGGGACTAGAGTTACAGACAATTGTGTGTGCATACCATGTGGATGGTAGAAATCGCACCCACGTTCTCTGTAAGAGTAACAAGTTCCAGGGAGCCATTTCCCCAGCCCCCGATTAGTTAGTATTAGGGTCTTTCTTCCACAAGTGTAGTGAGTTTTTTTCTTTTAAATGTTAGACTTGTTTTATTGGAAAATAAAATACTTAATGAAAAGCTTTCCTAAACATTTCCAAAAATCTATTTTGTTGCAGTTATAATTGTGTCGTGTCTTCTTTCCTTTCCTCCAGATATTCCCATATTCCCTCCTTTGCTCTTTTTTTTTTCTTTCAAATTTATGGTGTGCCCTTCCCTGGAGAAGATTGTTGTACCCATTCTCCACAGTCCTTAGCTGCCTGTAGTTCTTTGTGCAGGCTGAAGCCTCGGGGGATTTCCCCCCATCCGCTTTGCCTTGTTTATTGTTGTTTCTCTAGTTCAGCTCAAGTTTATACAGTTGTGTTGGTGAGACTTGTCGTCTGGATTTAATAGAAGCAGAGTCTCACAGCAGACTCCCTGATCTGCGCCCTCTTCCGCAGTGCTCCCTGTGCCTTAGATGTAGGGATGTTTCATAATGTGTCCACTGGGACTGGGATCCACAACTGCATTTTGGTTGGTTATGGTTTTCCGGGATGGCCTCGTGTCTGTTGCCAAGAGAAGCTCCTTTGGTGAGACATGAAGCCTATACTTACCTGTAGGTATAATGACAAATGTTTAGATGGTTGTTAGGGATTATGCTGGTTTAGCAAAGGGGTGGTCGCAGGTCTCCTCCATCTGTGACCTCACCAGCACTGAGTAGCTGGCTTGGTTGCCGCTATCAGGCATGTCACCCCTCTTGTTGAGTGGCTCTTAAGTCCAGCTAGAGAGCTGTTGCTTACTGCCTGTGCCATGTACTTGTTACTTGTGCATTGTCAGTTTTAAAACTGAGAAGCTCATACATGAAAACCACATTTGCATCATTTCCACCCCCAACTCCTCCCATGTCCCCTTACCTGCCCCCCTTGAAGCCATGGCCTCCGCCTCTGTAATTATTGCTGTGTATGCATTACGTGTTTAGTTCCCTTTTCAACCCGCTCCCTGATAAAGGAGCCGCGGTTTGTAGTAATTGCCCATGGCAGGATTTTGTTCTCTTTCTTCCCAGTTCCTCTTACGTCTTCTGTCTCTGTTCCTTGGGCTTCATGTCCCACCGCCACCCCCACACTGTACCAGCCTTACCATTCCACCAATCATTTTGCAAGGCAGGCAGCCTCCC